TAGCGTCAAATAAATGTGAAGTGTCCCATATTTTCGCTTATTTATTGGGTGAGTGCTGCAAATAACTGTAATTAACGCCGGAGATTTAATTTTAAACTAAATCTTTCATTATATTTACTTTCTTCATAGCAAACATATGTGGATAACTTCAGATGTTTAAAATGGAATTTCAAATGAAAATTACACTCTTATACACAGCAATCACTTATTAAGTGAGTACTACTAAGGAATTCCATATTAAGGCCAAACATCCGTCTAGTGATTCCAGGTTTTCAATGGTGGTCTAGCATTGATTGATTCATGATCTCAATTAAAACTCGATGATCTCCACAACCCTATACTGATAATAAACAAATATTTATGAAATTTAAAGCGATTAGTCCCTTTGATAAATTTCGATAATCTTCATCTTCTTATTACATTATCGAAATATATTTATGAACTGATTAAATAATTAAGTTTACTAAAACTAAAACACATTTTGCATAATTATCAATTATTCAATAAATATAATACAACGAATGTATGGATCAATATCACCATCTACGGAAATATTGCATCAATGTTATTGATTGACTTTTTCCAACTGATTTTTATCATCATGATTATCATCGTCATAGTTGTATTTTCTGACTAGAATTTCATATCTATGGTGTTCTAGATATCTTTTTAATAATAAGTCAATAGTAAAATTTTACAGATTTATTTAATTTATCAACCGGCAGAAAGTGGTCAATAATTATTGAACTAAAGTGGTAATTTGATGAGTTGATATATATATATATATATATATATATATATATATATATATATATATATATATATATATATATATATATATATATATATATATATATATATATATATATAACATTCGTAAACAAGGTGACAGTTGGCATTGGTCCAGTTCGTCATTAAAAAAATGTCCTGGTGTATTTTAATGACCTCAAATCGGCATCGCGAAGAGATATTATCACAAGGTCACAAGTTTTAAAAACAGAAATGATCCTTTTTATTAGAAAGCAAACCTAAATAAATATAAAATTTGCGCAAATTTGTTAATTTTGAAAGAAAACTAACCATTATGTCATTATAACGCAAATAAACCGTTGGGATGGCTCCCAGAAAGTGCAACATATCCTTCAGAGACTCTAAAGGAGCCGAAGAAATTCCGTCCAATCAAAACCAGATAGATATTTCTAAATTATCAACGTGACATATTGTGATTGGATAGTTGTGCAAACACCCTGCTTCCGGATTGGCTGGATTATAGTGAAGTTATAATCTATGTCCAAAAACTATCAATACACCTGTGTTTCCGTACATTTCGTACACCTACTCAATAAACACTTCCTTTGTCTTCTTCCGTCTCTTTTGTTTTGCGACTGAGTTCCGTGCATACGAATACCAGAGCCGTATACCATATTAGCCATAATCAAGCAGAGCACGTAATATATACGATTTGGTTTCGGTTCATTAAGTCTCAATAGCTCAAAATTATTAGTATACAACAGAATTATGTAAAAAGTACTTATGTGACTCATTGCCATATGAAATGAAATAATAATAACCAGTATACTTTAGGTTATAACTGATTACACCCACAGAGTGGTAATTATCAATAATCGAAACATCTATCTAGGTTCTTGATTCAAACTCTATCAATACCTTTCATACCGAAATCACAAATTTTTAAAAACCGCAAACTGATCGTGATCATTAGATCAGAATAATTTTACTAATTTGACTACGGATAAGACTAATTGGTGTTACGTCAGGCCAGTAAATCAAAGTATCCCAGATTCTGACTAAATGTCATTTTATCAATAGGCAGTTAATACACACGTTCAATATTGAATAACCTTCATCAAGGATATATATATATACATCACATTACAAAACGATTAATTAATCAAAAATTTTACCATGACACATTAAAATGATTTGGAACAACACATATAAGAGAACAATACTGTCCTAATTTACATCATCAAGCTTTACACCAATATACAAGAATAAATTAAAATACTAAGTTAATTAAGGCCATTTATGAATCAATGATCGCAATGAACTAGATTCAATAGTCACACATAATAGGTAAAAAGTACAAATCGATAGTAAGAAGATATGTGTACTAGTAGTGCTAAGAGTAATAAAATAATAAAAGTTCGACATAGGAAGTAGATCAAACTTGGACAAATAGACTATAATAATAATCACAGAAGATCATTAGAATTAAATAACGAGAAGTATGTAAATAACCAGGCAAAGAAGAACATAAACAGCAGGTAAAGTACAATAAACAAATAAAGAATGCGAAAAATCAGTAAAATCGTTTATATTAAGTGATATCCGCACACCGAAGGGACAGGTATGTCATATAATTCTTCTCAACTAGAGCAATAAATTCATATATTTATAGCCTATGCTATATATAGGAGACGGGATCAAACCCCACTAGCAACGACGAAGGCATAAAACAGATCATTCGAAATAATTTGCTTTTATTTACCACACGGACACTGTTCATCAGGTGTGACAAATCAAAAAGAATTGATGAAGAAAAGAACAATGGTTTGTAAAAAGATAATTAGTGTTATTAAGTTACTGTCAATATTACTAATACACATTCATCAATCCAGCTTAAGCACTGAAAGTTTATTTTCCTCGTGTTACTTTTATATAAACACTCTAATTACGTGGAGGCAGGAAGTAGGAATTCTCTGGACGTAGTTCTAAACACTTAGCCATACGAAAGCAATATAAGGAGGATGGACTTTTTTCACCCTCAGCCTTATCAGGGCATTTAATGAAACAATAAGACGGGCTATTGCTTAACACAATACATTTCACCAACACTACATAATCTATTAAATTATGTACAATTAATGAAACTACTTGTACAAATCGATCGTATTCTTCAATAAGCCTAGCTAAATTCCATTATCGACCGATAAATGCTCCTTTAACAGCTATCAATAAGCTAGTAATAATAGTAGACCTAGTATTTTTTAAAAATTGCAATGACTAATTATTAACTATTTATATTAATCAATATCGATAGCTCGCTAATAGGATTACGATCCATTTACGGCCAAGTTTATCAATAGTTTATTTGAAATGAGATTCAGCCGATACAAGCAAATATATTTTAAACTAATGCCGAGTAGTTAGGTAGATTATGATCTATAAAGAATGAAAGGTAGTGTTTAAAGTATTTAACATACGTATTTTGATTGATACAATGGAATGTCAATTATTATTAAAATTCAACGAATTATATATAATGTGAATTTTCTAAGATAGATTATTACAGACATTAGTTTTATGAATGTATAGAAAGAAGAGAACAGAGTTAATTAGAGATTTCTGATCAGAGGTCTATGCTCTACAAGGGATAAAAGGCGTAAGCAAGCAATAAAAATTTAAAATAGAAAAACACGATGTAAGTAAAAATGCTGTTACATTTGTAAACAATAACATAATCTATAATCACGGAAAACAAATTAATGAGTGACCATTTTCATTAGCAATTTATGGAGCCTAATTGATGATACACTAAAGATTGATAGAAAAAAAAGAATTAATAGATAGTTTCTATTTGCCCCCGAAAGCCCTGGTACGGTGGAAGGTGGTGAAAGTCAGCTCTCCCGCTCGAAATGCTCTCAAGTGGTCACGCGTATACAGCCACTGCCAGAGAAGTCCTACTCACTACCTTATCGCAGCGAAGGTGTTGTTTACGAAATTGAGAGGAATAAAAGTGAATGGCCTGCGCTTTAAGCCGGATGGTGGATAAGGAGGGTTCACTTAGAAGAGTTGGAAAACCCTGATTCCAATCCAATGGTTCACATAGGCTCTAGGATTCTGAAGGAGTAAATGGCGTATGAACCTATCGTTGCTCAAGAGCTACCATGGGACTACATTGTCAGTGTGATCATGTTATGTTGTTTTCTTTTATTTTACAGTAGACATCCCCACAAGGTTGTTGATTCAGTTGACCGATCTTTTTATTAACTATGGGAGTGATACCAGAATACGACCAACGACCACGTAGAGGATAAAGGTAAATATGATAAAAATAATTTTACATAGCATTTGTAGTAATAAATGAACGATCACAAGTTTCGGTAATCAATTACAGACTACCTAGTGTATGATCTGAAGTTCCACAAAAGATGAACTGTACTGGTACAACTGGGGCTTTAAAATAAGTACGGGTAACATTTAAAAAAAAGAGATAGTGAAGAAATACAGAAGAGGCATACAGATGAAAAATACATAACTTATGAGTGAACTATGAGGCAACCAATCGAATATGCAGCTTGAAAAAACCTACCTATCTGGTAGAACTACAAATTGACTTACAGATGTTCAACATTATATGCAATGCAAATAAAATTCTATGTGATATGTGCAAATATTATCAAATAAATACACAAATTGAGATAATAAAAAAAATATGTATTAAGAAATCCAAAGCTAATCAATGTAAGGTCCTTTAAACTACTTCTCATTTGTAGCTACAGACGAATATATCTTCCCTTTACTCTTTTCGTGATACCACTTAAAGTTCTTAGAAGTCGGGTTTTCAACTGCCTTAATCGTTTCATGTTTTTTTCTGAACATCAAACGTTTAGCTAGAATAATAAGCACAACTTTTTGTAAATTCATTTAATTAGTTTAAAGCTTTGTAATATCCTTGCACTCTTCAAAGACCTCTCTGGAGAACATGATCCATTTTGAAAGACGTTTTCCTAAGTGTACTATTTCTATAACAGCCGTCAATATTTTACAAATTCCCTGAAAGTATTTTCTAAGTTCCCTTGAAACTTTCATGTAACTCAGTGTATTTATTGAATTACCAACATAGATAAATTCCGTTTTTACTGTTTCTAGTTGTTTGATGTATCGGTGTAGAAATTTTTAGATTTAAAATATTACATTTGAATACTATCTGAAATGTCTTATGACAATTTATCAAAAAACGTTATGTCGCTTACATTGTTTTTAAATCCCAGTCACCACACGTCACAAAAGCAAATTGATACGGAATTATCTTTAAATTATTATCATCTAAAAATGAATCAAACGTCTGAAAAAAAGAAATGATAAATCGATTATTCATACTATGAAGTGTTGAAGAAATTGTTGAATCTGATAATTTACATCACGAACTGGTTTGAGTTATACAACCACAAACATCATCAATGCAATAAAAAATATCGCAAACTGATTGCAACTAACACATAAACTATTGGATGCCAAGTCAGTGATTTGAAAGTCAAGGATTCGCTAAGAGACCTAAAGTTCTTGGGTTCGATCCACAGTGAAGTCGTGAGTGCATACTATTCAAGAATTTAATACTACGAAAAAACAGCTCCCTAGTGTCTCCTAGTAACTAGTGATTTTTTAACTAAGAACATTCTAGGATGCAGACTTTGAAATTAATCACAAATATATGAATAATAGTAAAGTAATGATAAATTACAAAAATCATTATGATATGACCATACATAATATTTTATTATGACAACCTTATTTTTGACAAGATGGAAATATAAACTACTGCCTAACTATGTCTTAAAGATAGAAAAATATATAGTTTATCGAACCAACAACAAATAGCATAAACACATGATTTCTTACTAACATTAACGACATTTATGCTAAGCACAAATATTTAACCATAAGAAAATGGAAGCATTAGAATTAGTTTTCTTGGTTTCATTAAAATTTTATTAAAATAAATTATATATATATATATATATATATATATATATATATATATATATATATATATATATATATATATATATATATATGGAGAGGTGGCTCAGTGGTTAAAGGGGCTTTAATCTTAGCAACTAAGCCTCAGGTCCGAACCCTGCTCCATCTACTTAGGTTTGTGTAACCAGGTAGCATCAACAACTGTTAAGTTTAAAATTTGACTCGAATTCAAGTATATGAATATGTGACTTGTGAGTATATATATTTACGTCTGCTTACTTTGAGTACAGTCGGTAAATCCGGTTGATCGTCTACCATGGATTGTATTATACCAGTGAGCTATGAGGTGAAATTTAAAAACGATTATATTTCGACATTGAATAACTATAATTATAATTTACGGGAAAATACGAGAATAAATTATAACAACTGAATACAATTAGTGTTTGACATAGAGAAAAACCCTAATATAACAAGATAAATCTAATAGTTAAAGGTATATATTAACTTGTCACAAAATAATAAAGAATAAGTATACATGTATCATCATAATGAACTTTGAAACATGTTAGCTATTTATTCTTATTTTATTTTATTTGAACACATAAATATTGTTACAAGGGGGCACAAGAGACATATGCGCCACACAACAACAATGAGAATGGGAACAGATAAAGAATGTAAGGTGCGTAAATAAAAGAACAATAACGACCACAAATTAGTGTATGGTAGCGAAATAACAATAATAATGGGAGAAACAGAAAGGCATAACCAGAAAGAATTTTTTTAGTCAAGGGAGATAAAACCACTCATTATGAAGAAAGCAAAAGAAGGTTACAGTAGGATCGCCACTGGCTTCTGTTCTGAGCCATTTCTAGGACCCCAACCAGGGAGTCGCGAAGGACCAACAGATGCCAGTTCTGTGCAGCTTTCTTCCATACTATGACACCATGTCATACACTGACCACCTCTCCGCTTTTTCAAACCAGTCACAGCGTCAGCAAATAATGCACGACGAGGAATTGTCCCCGATTTATTTTCTTACAATTAATTATATATTTTTATTTAATCAATAGGAAAGTAGGTTTCATATCTTCATCATCATTTTATTAAATTTTATTGATAAAACTAAATTTTCTTAATAAAATAAGTTAAATTATTATGAAAAATAATGAAAATTCTATGTATTTAGTGATAGTATTAATTCCAAAAAAATTTGTTGTTAAAAATACATGTTGAAATAAAAAATTATAAGAATTTAAATAATCAATAAATCTGATTGATATATTGATTGATATAATACGATCAATAATATACGATGCATGTTTGTTAATGTGAAATTGTGTAGAAGTATGGCTTCATTAAAAAGCTACACTGAATTAACAATTTTTGCGGACTAATAAATAATTAGCAATATTTAAAAAATAATCACAATATAACTGAATATTGTAAATCTTTAAATTAATTAAGTGTAATAATCAATAATACAAATTATTTAACAGTAGAAAATGAATTTGCTATAATCTAATAGATATTTTCAGAAAGTCATCGATGAAGAAAATGACCATCTTGGAGGAAAACATTTACAGTAATCAACTTTATAGACAAATTGTCTTATATATGATAAGAAAAATGAGAAATAATTGTCATAATATATACATACATATGGTGTGTATAAAAAACACAAAAACGACAGCTTTACAAACTATAGTACCTATATAATATGCTGATAGTATACAATATTTTAGGCCGGTATAAGCCCTTAACTTTGATTTGAAAACAGGAAAAGTAAGAGGTTCGTTTGCAAGAAGGCATGAAATTTTTTTCAATTTATAACGATTCTTAAAATATTCAGCTTACTTTAAATGAAGTACTAACCATATCAAACTGATTATTTTCAAATGATTAGTACATTATTTATTACCAGTCTTTAAATATTGCAATACTTTTCAGCGCAACTCCGCCTGTAGCTCTTATAGGGTTACTGCCGGTCCCAAGCCCGGGTACACGAGGAGGGTTGGGCATGGGGTTAGCGTCCCCATCCCGTAGAAAACTAACTCGCTAAAAAACGCTTACCAGAAAAAATAATCCAAACCATTTAAACTCTGCCCTGGGAGTTAGAAGGTCTTCATTTAGAAGAATTATGACGCTTCATGGTGAAAGCCGAGTTCCTCCGGAAGCCACGAGTCCGATGCCCCTTCTAACAACCAGAGCAAAAAATTTTATAGGTACATGGAACGTTCGAACAATGTGGGAGACCGGGAAGACCAGTCAAATAGCAATGGAAATGAGGAGATACAACTTGGCAGTACTGGGAATCAGCGAAACCCACTGGACACAAGCTGGACAGAAAAGGCTAGCTACGGGAGAGATGCTGCTATACTCCGGTCATGAAAAGGAAAATGCTCCACACACTCAGGGAGTCGCTCTTATGCTGTCCAAAGTAGCACGAAATGCACTTGTAGGATGGGAATCTCACGGATCCAGAATCATCAAAGCATCGTTCAAAACAAAGAAGGAGGGGATTTTAATGAATATTATCCAATGTTATGCACCCACAAATGATAGCAACGAAGACATTAAAGATCAGTTCTACAAGCAGCTGCAGTCAGTCATTGAGAAATGCCCAAGAAAGGACCTAACTATTCAGATGGGAGATCTAAATGCCAAAGTCGGAATAGACAACACTGGATATGAAGATATTATGGGATGACATGGACTGGAAGAAAGAAACGAAAATGGAGAAAGATTTGCAAATCTATGTGCATTCAACAAATTGGTCATAGGAGGCACAATATTTCCACACAAACCTATACACAAGGCTACATGGATCTCACCGGACCACACTACAGAGAACCAAATAGATCATATTTGCATCAACAAAAAATTCCGAAGGATAGTGGAAGATGTGAGAACCAGGAGAGGTGCTGACGTAGCTTCAGATCACAACCTCGTTATGGCCAATTTAAAACTGAAGCTAGAAAAGAACTGGACAACTGGACAAACAGCACTACAAAGGTTCAATACAGCCTTCCTTCGAGATACTGACAAACTCAATGAATTCAAGATAGCTCTCAACAGCAGGTTCCAAGCCTTACAGATCTACTGAAAGAAGAAGAAACTAGTATGGAGGACAACTGGAAAGGCATCAAGGAAGCATTAACTTCAACGTGTCAAGAGGTTCTCGGTCTAAAGATGCATCATCCTAAGGAATGGATCTCTATAGAAACACTGGACAAGATCAAAGAAAGGAAGAACAAGAAGGCAGCAATAAACAACAGCCGAACACGAGCAGAGAAAGTCCAAGCACAAGCTGAATATATAGAAGCAAACAAACAAGTGAAGAGGAGCATTAGAGCCGACAAGAAGAAATACGTGGAAGAACTAGCAACGACGGCAGAAAAAGCTGCTAGAGAAGGAAATATGAAACAGCTTCACGATACAACGAAGAAACTATCAGGGAAATACAGTAAACCAGAGAGACCGGTCAAAGACAAAGAAGGCAAGCCAATCACCGAAATTCAACAACAGCGGAACAGATGGGTAGAATACTTCGAGGAACTCCTGAATAGGCCGGCTCCAATGAATCCACCGGACATCGAAGCAGCACACATAGATCTTCCTATAGATGTCAACCCACCAACGACGGAAGAAATTAGAATGGCCGTCAGACAAATCAAGAGCGGGAAAGCAGCAGGACCCGACAACATACCAGCTGAAGCACTGAAATCAGACATCGAAGCAACCACAAGCATGATTTAACTTCTATTCAAAAAGATTTGGGAGGAGGAACAAGTGCCGATGGACTGGAAAGAAGGACACCTCGCCAAGATTCCAAAGAAAGGAGATCTGAGCAAATGTGAAAACTACAGAGGCATTACACTGCTGTTAGTACCAGGGAAAGTCTCCAACAGAGTGTTGCTGAACCGGATGAAAGATGCAGTAGACGCCCAACTTCGAGATCAACAAGCTGGATTCCGTAAGGATCGGTCGTGCACAGACCGAATTGCAACACTACGGATCATCGTCGAACAATCAGTTGAGTGGAACTCATCACTATACATCAACTTCATTGATTATGAAAAGGCATTTGACAGTGTAGATAGGAGGACATCATGGAAACTTCTTCGACACTACGGAGTTCCTCAGAAGATTGTCAACATTATCCGGAACTCATACGACGGACTACAATGCAAAGTCGTGCATGGAGGACAGCTGACAAATGCATTCCAAGTAAGGACCGGAGTCAGACAAGGCTGTCTACTCTCTCCCTTCCTCTTTCTTCTGGTGGGCGACTGGACTATGAGGACCTCGGCATCTGAAGGAAAACACGGAATACAATGGACAGCTCAGAATCAATTAGACGATTTGGACTTCATAGATGACCTAGCCCTCCTATCGCATACACACGAACAGAATCAGATAAAGACAGCCAGTGTAGCAGCAGTCTCTGGATCAGTAGGCCTCAGCATGCACAAAGGGAAAACCAAGGTCCTCAAATTCAAAGCGGAGAACAGAAATCCAATCACTCTTGATGGCGAAACTCTGGAAAATGTAGAGTCCTTCACATACCTAGGAAGCATCATCGATGAACAAGGAGGTTCAGATGCAGACGTAAAGGCAAGGATTGGCAAAGCAAGGACAGCATTCCTACAGTTAAAGAACATATGGAACTCAAAACAACTTTCAACCAATATCAAAGTCAGAATCTTCAATACCAACGTCAAGGCAGTTCTACTGTATGGAGCTGAAACTTGGAGAACTACAACAACCACCATCAAGAAGGTACAAGTATTTATAAATAGCTGTCTACGCAAGATACTCAACATCCATTGGCCGGATACCATCAGCAATAGCCTTCTGTGGGAGAGAACAAACCAACTTCCAGCTGAAGAAGAAATTAGGAAAAGACGATGGAAATGGATAGGACATACATTACGCAAATCGTCAAACAGAATCACGAGGCAAGCCCTAACTTGGAATCCTGAAGGGAAGCGAAAAAGAGGAAGGCCAAAGAACACATTGCGTCGGATAATAGAAGCAGATATGAAAACGATGAATTACAACTGGACGGAGCTAGAAAGGATTGCCCAGGACAGGGTTGGATGGAGAATGCTGGTGAGCGGCCTATGCTCCTTCACAAGGAGTAACAGGCGTAAGTAAGTAAGTAAGTACTTTTCAGCGCGTCATTATTAACCCATTGCAGGAGATAAAAAAGAAGGCTGAAGCCAACTTGAAGCATTGTGAGAAACTATATTGACTAAGTGTCTTAATTAATGATTTATCTAGAGTAACAGAAGTCATTATGAGTAACTGATTAGTCAATATTTCATATGAGAGATAGATTCCTGCACTACGATCCTTCAATTGGAGCTTTATAAAAAAAGCAAGTATTTCAAATTCTACTTACTTCTGTACAAAAATCGCTTAATGTTGGATTAACAGTAGGACGAACATAGCGATGGAAAATAGCCTCAGTTTGCAATGTAGAAGCATTTATCATGAGAACGGGGAATTCGATAATTTCCTAAAAACATGAAGAAAAAAAATTCTTCAACTATGAGAGTGAAGACAAAATCCAAATAATTCCAGCGTCGAGAAAATAATGATTGAAATATTTTGCCAGATGCTGTGAATATTTCATGTTACACATAACATTTTATATTGATGGACAGAAGTTGAGAAACGATAATATAAAACAAAAGAGTTAATTACGAACTAACGACATTGATAGGTGTTAATCTATAGTTGAAAAGTTGTAATAAGAGTTGTAGAATCATAGGTCCAAACGACGTTCCACTGTTGCTTTGATCATCTAGTTAAAAGCATCTCGATTAATAAAATTTTTATGGTTCGTATAATTTATTTGGCTAAAATAATGCTTATTTGTTTGAATACAAACTTGACACAATACATAGTATGAAAGACATAAGATTTAAAGAAGACAAAGATTGGCTAGAAAGTTATTATGGAGAAGGATGAGTTCTAAAGTGTTGAAATGAATGAATAAAATGTGCTGATCGATAGATCAAATGGATGGATATCATATAGCTGAACGATAATACACAATCGATCGACATGATGAATGACTTTAATACGAAAATCTTTCCAGTGACCTCTTTCTGTTAACACATAGTTTAACCGATGTCAACCTATAACAAAAAATCCACTTTCTTTTCAATCGATTTCGCGAATATAATATTGAACAAAGTGAGTGCTTGAGATTCTCAAAAAATATTCAGTTTCCTGTATTTACCAAAAATATCTACTCAGATATAGATGAATAAAGTAAATCTAGCAGAAAGTTATCAGAAAATACAGTTTTAGAAAATAAGCAAAACCTCTTCAAGATATCTCATCAGATATCTAATAGAAAGTAGAAATACTTAAAATTTTAAACACGTAACTGTCTGTTAAACATTAGCTATTAAAGCTAATTGTAATACATCTCTTGAAAAGAGATAAAGATTGAACTGTAAAACAAATATGAAATTTATTTAGATATAATTTGCACTAATCATGTTCATGTGTTCATATATATACTTCGTGAATCTGTTGCAAAATTAATCCATACAAAGTTATGAGTTACATCTAATATTTATATGACAACAGATGATCCTAATGAGTTAAATAAAGCTAAAATCGATTCGACAATATAATGTATCCAAGCTCAACTGACTGACAACCTACAAAGTAAATATACAATATTTCTTAAATATACAACTCAATCAATGGAAAATATTCAAAAAAATGTAAACATTAACAAGAACAAAAAAATGAATTATTATCATACAGCAACTGAAATTTGTTTGTCTTGTTCACAAGTTGCTTCAAAATCCAAAACCATAAAGTAAGCAAATTTTTGTACATTTTTCATTTGTCCAGTACGGATAGAGTTGAAAATTTTGGTTGCCTAAAATTATTGTTATTTTGAATTTCAAAAGAATAATAATACAACATTAATGTAAAAGTATAAAATGACAAATTTTAAACAATCATTCAAAATACCATACATAAAGAATTTTATACGTAACATGATGTCAATAGAAAGCAATCTGAAACGGCTATATATTATTTGAATTATCTTACAGCTGACGCGTCCCAAAATAAGACGAAACGTGAGTCCTGAATTTCATTGCTAGCCACAATCTGTCTATTCTAAACTATATATTGTTTCATAAACATTAATTGTTATAAAGAATAAATCAGTGATTAAGTTACATTTGTTGCCTACTGTAGTTTAATTTTATAATATGGTGCATTGTGTTCATACGACAAGTCATTGATCAAGTAATCTATAATACTACTGTGATAATTTCTCTTATTACGACCCAGCTACTCTTATTGCTTAGTAGTTTTGGACACTAATTCACTTGACAAGTACCCAAATCAGAACATGGTTAAACAGAAACGTAATTATATTCCAAATAACAAGGTTGAAAGTAAGTAGGAATCACAATAAGAAAAACGTTAGTATATTTATAATTTTTACATAAGAAGATTCTAGAGTCTTCTCCAAGTCTCCACTAGCGCTGATTGGTCGGGAAATAATCAATCACTGTGTTCCAACACAATCCTGCACGGAACGTACTTTAATCTAGTCTATATCGCGCTAACAACTACCCCAGTTCAATATATTCAAATGTGAATATTGATCAATATGAGTAAAGCTTAGCACATTCAGACTTAGGTTTTGATCTATTTCGCGGACCTAACAAGCCTATATTTATAGCCTTTTCCTACTTTCTTGCATCGAACTATATCAGTCATCCAGTTATGATATTAATAACTCTCAATATACAATGAGAATTATCTTCCTATAAATTATACTAAAGATTTCCACAAAAACATTTAGACAAATGAATTCACACAAATTAGAATGACTACACCTTTATTTACCAAATATAAATGACCGATATGTTACTAATCACGTAGTCGGTTATAAAGAATGAAGGGTCTAATACGAGTTTGTATCGATCCAAATCAAACCTAACGTTGAAACAATGAGAAAGAAGGATGACAGCAAAATGAGCTGAAAGTTATATTGATAGCATTACCAAACTCAATGTAAGAAGCATAGCTTAAAAGAACAAAGAAGAATGAAAGTATGGGATAAATATAAGCTCAACATTTAGAGAAATGTTATAATGAATGCACAGAAGCTATTGTAACTGATTATGGATAATTCCACACAATGTTTTCAACCAAAGATAAAGATCATTATACAGACCTCAACATGAATAAATCTGTTAGTTTGAACATTTTGGAAGAATACTTCATAGGTTAGTGCTATTTTGTCATTTGACTGCCTCTAGTTTTCTTCTTCTACACCGACCACTGTTATATTAACTGTTAATTAGTGAATTATTTTACTAGTTTTCACAAAGAAAAATTAGGTTTGACGTATTAATTCTTAGAAACAGTGAATAACTATTAATTTCGTGATACAATCAATAGTGACAACAGTTATAAAAATAGTAATTATAAATAAAGGCAAACTAATAAACTAAGAAAAATAATTAATAATAATTTAATTTATTTAATCGTTAAAACAAGTATTCAGTCAATAAAAACTTCCACTGTATATTCTAATATATCCATATATCTAAGGATATTTTTACCATCCTGTTGTTGACTGAATGATTATTTGTTTCTGATAAGGTATTTTACTTAGATTACTTAAAAATTTAAATTATTTCAGTAGTTTGAATAATGATTCATATCACATATTTTCTAAATATCGAGATAAGTATAATCAAAGGAATAACACAATCAAAATAGAGAAAACTTTTGTTTTTGGCACAAAACTCAAAAATAACTTATCTAATATCATATTAAAACCTCAATAGTAATATCTTTGTATATTAGTCAGAAATATGCGAATTACGTTGAAATATATTTTATTTTACTACATAATCAAAATGATGTTAAATGTATATATATTGATATTCCAAAATACAGGAAACAGCAGTAAATAATTTTAGTAAGCAACCTTAATTCATAGCATTTTATTATTATAACACCAGAGAAGCGCGACGCATTGATCACGTATAAGTTCATATAAACATGCTAAAAGTTACACTCATTACGATGGTTAGTAATGTTATCCGATACTGCCTAAAACAAGTCGTCCTTAGTTTAGATCTGTATACCGATACCCAATAAGTCACACGCATCTTATGTGAGTAATTTCAGTGTTAGCTCCGTACTTGTTGAGACCTTGCTGCCGGGGACGGAAATCTGTGGTATAAAGCGGGGTGTGCATCTATAAGGTACACCTTTTCTAACCCAACTTTCCTTGTGGGTAGGCAGCATCGCTGTTATGCTGGTTGTCTGAAGGAAGCACCTTACTGTCGTCACACCTATGTACAGTCAATAGTACGACTTTTCCCCTAAACCTTCAGTTTGCTGCTTTTAGTCTTACCGATCTTCAACAAATCTGCCTGAGAGTAGGACGTTGAGGAACGAATATTCCAGCCAGTATAGCCGGATCGGTTTATCATGATGGACAAGCCCGACCAGCACGTCAAAGTAGCAGCAACGGTCGGGATATATATATGCCAAACTATGATGCGATATATGAGAAAGGGGTGAGTTCCATACATCCACACATCTCTAAAACCGGACTAAGTTGACATATCACAACTATAGTATTTGGAAGAATCAGTAACTAAAAATAAAGCATACGCACAATCGATTCTTATGAAAGGTCAATATTACAAACTAAAGATCTAAAATGGAACCCCTCAACACTGTCAAGACAGTACGATTAGATCCCTCACGGATTGGCTACACCACAGAAATCAATCAAATTTAGGGCAGAAAAAGATCATAGTTAACTAAAGCAATTTACGATAACCAGACTATCGAGTTTAAGTTTTCAAGCTGAATTAAATCCTAAAATCTACAGCACGAAATAATAGGATCCGTAAGGCGGATGCATTCCAATCCCTGGTGTTGTTGAATCTTTCACCTATCTAGTTAACCTAAAGGTTTTACTTATTGTACTAGCCTGCTTTCTTGAAGCATCTGGATACAGCGACGCTTGTACCATATTCACTGTTGTATAACAGGATTTTAAAAATGTCACCCCCACTTACCCGCCCCCTATGAAATTTCCACCTGACTAGCATTTTCGAAATTAGGGAAAACATCAATAAGAGCGGAAAAGAATAATACCAAGTAGCAATTACTTGTGAATCTTGAGCTACAAATCTTCTCCACCATCTCAAAATCATACTTGTGAATCTGGCAAGACAGTTTAACTCACTCATCTCATCAAGTTAAGAAGAACGCAAAATCTCAGCCAAATTAAAAAAATATTACGTAGTGATGTACCATGCACTTATTTGTCCTTTCTAATATGCAGCTACTTTAAATATCTCAGATACAATTTGTTCGTCACATCGATTTCCACTATACCTCCCTTTACAAATTGACACAACTATAACCAGAACGTCATTACTAAAGTTCTTGTGTTGCTTAGTATGTAAATTTCGAATATTGACGCACAACGTAGTTTATATTTATACTAACATTATTCAACTAACAGATGACACGACAATTACGTTAAACAGAAATCTCGCGGGGGCGGGATCGCGGATGCGCACTGCTGAGAAGTCACATACTAGGACGAAACGGCCGTCTAGTGCTCCCAGGTGGTCTAGCTTCAATTGACTCATGATTTCAACTACTGAAATTACTAAGATCTCCACTAAACCCCTTCTGATAAACAGAAATAAGTACTAGAGTAACTGAAAATATCTAATAAACAAGTTAGAACTACAATATTACGTCCGTTTTCTAAGACAGGAAAACTTCTGGGTAAAATAGGTTATCTATCATAAGAAAGCTCTAGTTGAACAATCGGAAAATTACCATAAAACCCTTTATTATGTAGATTTTAAAGTTCCAATATGAGTGACCTCATGAATATAAAATAATAATTAAAAATTAAATATCACTTAATTTCAGACATGTTTGACATCAACAAATGATGAGAAAAGAAAAACTTTGATATATATGGATATATTAAATTTATTCACAACATGCAAACCATATACAAAAAAATTAGCATGATAGATATAAGAGAATCTAGTTAGGAAAATGAATCGACTTAATCCAACCACAAAGAATGCGAAATCATATTGAATTCATAATACGAGGAACGCGAAATATACATTTCTGTGACTGATAACCTCATATAAAACAAATAGCGATGCTTGTCACATCTAACAATCATCAATTCTTTTCAGCAAATTTGTTTCCATTTCACGAACACCAACTAACGCTTCAAGGGTTAAATGGCTCATTAAAAAGAAAAGGAACAGCTCAAAGATATGTACGCACAAAATAAACAGTTGGAAGGACTTAAACGCAGTTCGAGAAATATCACACTATATCTCTTAGTTATGATAACAGAATCAAAATTTTACAATTATTCATTACATTTCGAACTCGCTACATCACTAAAATTCAAGCTTAATAGTATTAGCCTGTTAATTGAAAGGTGGATGATCAATAACCACTGGAAACATAAGAAAAATATCGGCTGAAATGGAGAACGAAACCACTTTTCGAACATGAACAACTCTCATCAAAATATTATCCTCTTCACAATTATACTCCTTGTCTCAATGGCAAAGATATCATACACATAAATGATCGCTTTTTCACATTCACAAATAACAAGTTTGATGAATCTAGCAAATTCATAGTAGATCTGTATTCACTGCAAGAACATACCACAAGTTATCATGTTCCCTGCTTTCTATGAAAATGGAATGGCTTGCTTTATTTGGTAAACAATATTCGATATTCACTAGAAACAAGAAAAGCTTAAGCAGTCAAAAAATAATGTCACCAACCAATCATTAA